CCAAGGAGGGGGCCATGGCCAGGACGAAGTCCGGGAGGGAGAACTGGAGCTGGGGTTTTTGGGGAAGGGTGGGGGGGGGATCAGGGGGGTGTCTTGTGTCCCCCCTCCACCTCCCAACCTTCTCTCACCGTCCCAACCCTGCCGTCCCCCCCCTTTTTTGGGGGAGGAAGGCCGGGGGGAGGGTGTCGGAGGTGGCAGGGGGGGCACCTCAGATCTTGATGAAGAGGATGCCGGTGACGAGGGCGAAGCCGGCCAGGAGGAGGATGACTTTGGGGATGCGGTGCCGGGGCACCCCCAATTCTTGGGGTAAAATCTCCAAAAAAGTGATGTAGAGAAAAGTGCCGGCCGCCAACCCTTCCAAAACCCCCCGGCACAACCTCTGCCTGGGCCCCGCGCCCGTGGCCACCGCCGCCGTCCCCAAAGCCACCCCCAAAGGGGACATGAGGGAGAAGAGGAAGAGGGAAGCGGCCACCGCCGGCGGGCGCAGGCGGCCCCCCAGGAGCTCCAGGGCGAGGCTGAAGGCCACGGCGCTTTTATGGAGGAGCAAAGCCAAGCAGACCCTCCAAACCCCCCCTTCTCCTTCCTGTAGGCCCAACGCCAACCCCTCCAACACCGAGTGAAGAGCCAAGGCCAGGACTAACAGCCCGGCACGGATGGCCCCCCCCGGGATGAGGGGTGAGGAGCAGGATGAGGATGGTGAGGAGGAGGATGGTGGTGGTGCTTGGATGGAGGTGGGGAGCAAGGCCCGGGTCTCCTCGGCCGCCCCAGGGAGCTCCTGTTGGGCCAGAGCCACTTGCTCCAGGACCAGCACCAAGAAGAGGCCCATGGCCAGGATGAACTCCAGGAGGGAGAACTGGAGCTGGAGTTTTTGGGGAAGGATGGGGGGGGGATCAGGGGGGTGTCTTGTGTCCCCCCTCCACCTCCCAACCTTCTCTCACCGTCCCAACCCTGCCGTCCCCCCCCTTTTTTGGGGGAGGAAGGCCGGGGGGAGGGTGTCGGAGGTGGCAGGGGGGACACCTCAGATCTTGATGAAGAGGATGCCGGTGACGAGGGCGAAGCCGGCCAGGAGGAGGATGACTTTGGGGATGCGGTGACGGGGGACCCCCAATTCTTGGGGTAAAATCTCCAAAAAAGTGATGTAGAGAAAAGTGCCGGCCGCCAACCCTTCCAAAACCCCCCGGCACAACCTCTGCCTGGGCCCCGCGCCCGTGGCCACCGCCGCCGTCCCCAAAGCCACCCCCAAAGGGGACATGAGGGAGAAGAGGAAGAGGGAAGCGGCCACCGCCGGCGGGCGCAGGCGGCCCCCCAGGAGCTCCAGGGCGAGGCTGAAGGCCACGGCGCTTTTATGGAGGAGCAAAGCCAAGCAGACCCTCCAAACCCCCCCTTCTCCTTCCTGTAGGCCCAACGCCAACCCCTCCAACACCGAGTGAAGAGCCAAGGCCAGGACTAACAGCCCGGCACGGATGGCCCCCCCCGGGATGAAGGGTGAGGAGGAGGATGGTGAGGAGGATGAGGAGGAGGATGGTGGTGCTTGGATGGAGGTGGGGAGCAAGGCCCGCGTCTCCTCGGCCGCCCCAGGGAGCTCCTGTTGGGCCAGAGCCACTTGCTCCAGGACCAGCACCAGGAAGAAGCCCATGGCCAGGATGAACTCCGGGAGGGGGAACTGGAGCTGGAGTTTTT